AAAGAAAGAGAATTCTTGTTTTCTTCATGTTTCTATCAGTCCTACACACTAACTCTCAGATCTACCTCTTCACTGCATGGCTCTGGCTTCCTAGTGAGTGACAGAATAGCCGCCTTTCATCTCTGTGCTGTCACTTTGCCATCAGGACCCTATTACTGTACCTACCATCACCTGCCTGTTGCCACAGAAACCACCCTGGGAAGCTTCAGACACTGTTCCTGCATGTGTGTACTTATGTGTTCATGTCTGTTTTTCTGTGTATTTGTGACTCCAGTGATTTTAACAGACTGCTCTGCACTGTGTTCTGACACCTTTCTATCAGAACCAACATTAACTGTTTCAGCAGTTACAGTACAGTAGCTCGTCTGTTGGTTTGGACCACACGGGCCAGCCTTCGCTCCCCACCTGTATCAATGAGCCTTGACCCCCATGACCCTGTCTCTGGTTCATCTCTTTTCCTTTCTTGGACTCTTTGATAGGTACTGACCACTGCAGACCAGGTCAAGGATCTTAGCTATCGATTGTTCAAGTTTGTGAATGGGTGTTTTTGCCCCACAATGTCGTACAATATCGATGACTAAGGGAAGGTTAAGGGAGTTAGTGAGGGAGATGAGAAAAATGTGTGTGTGGTGATTGATTTTTTAATATGAAACAACTCTGATGATCACAGTCACTTATATAATTCCTGTTTATCTCTTATTTTAATGGTTTTTTTATCTTTACAACGATATAAAGAGAACAGACATCGATATAACTCCTGCTCAGGTATTACCTGTTATTGTTCTGTGAGAAGTTTTCCTCCAAATCAGATTTCTCTCATACACAACTGTATTTCTCATTCCCTGTTTTTTAATCCCCTGTATTAAGTTAATAGGAGAAATTACAGTCAACATGGAGCAAGGATAACGTTCCCATTTAGTTGCAGGTTGCCAGCAATAAAGTGTTCCCACTCAGGTCATCATGGAGACATGTTAGTTACTGTTGTTTTGGCATATAGCAAAAATTCAGCATTCATTGATAAAACTTACTTTTTTCTGTTAAAATTGAGAAACAAACCCTTCACATACACCTCCACAACCCAACCAGGTTTTGAAAAAAACTGAATATTCTATCTGGAGTGATCCTTGAGCAACTGGCATTTAAACACCTTGACCACATTTCTGATCACTGTCTGCCACATGTGCAGGCTTGTCTTCCGCTCAAATAACTTGGTAGTTAATCGCTCTCATATTCCATCACTGGTTATCAGGGGGTTATGCCAAATTCAGCAGAGTATTAAAGGCAGCAGCGTTGAGGCAGCTAGAAGTGGGTTCATTCTCAACAGCTGAGACAACTGTCTTTAAAGAATAAACAGAGTGGCTAGATGTTGTAGAGTCAAACAAATGCCTGCACCAACACAGAAATTTAGACACTGTTAGAATCGTATATTCCCACACGATCAAAACCCACCTGGATACAAGTGGGCGTGTGTAAGTTCCCGTATAGACATGTACATCTTTTTACATCCAATTACATCCAGGTAATTATGGAAGTTTTATTTATAATTATAATATAATATTTTATAAGTTAATAATCTTTCCCCAGTCTGTAGGGTCCTCTCCTAAAGGTCCTTCTATAAAAACAGAAGATTCAACAGATCAAGCTTTCAAACTCTGCTCACATATATAGACATACAGTGTCTAAACCCTCCACTTTAATAAGATGGCATATTTAAACTAGAGCCCATCACTTATTATCTTGCTAAAGCAAACACTGCTGCTTCAGTGCTTCTATTACAGACACATCTGCTACAGTTATCACTGGCGTTCACCGTCATGCCCACATCCACCACTACATCCACACAAAGATTCTGAGTGGGGATGGTTTAGTTATTACTGCCAGCTCTCTATATGGTCGAGGGAGTGACAGAAATCAAGTACCAACACCGTGCAGTTTAAATAATGCATAATATGCGAGTAGTAATTCAGCAAGCAAACGGAAACATACTGTTGTTAGGACTGATTAATAGGGAATCAGACAGGAGGTATTCCAACAAACAAGTAATACAATCAGTGAGCATCAGTTGTGTGGATCAGCTGACAGTCCTGACCCTCAACTATTTAACACACACACTCTAACACCATTCTCCATCTATGCCTTATCTGGATAAACTAAATGAACTAAATAATTAAATTCACTAATTAATTTTCACAACTGACATCAGTCACCAGCCTGAGGGACACATCTATTTTTCTCCCCCGATCAGCAGAATGAAAACAAACTAAAACAAAAAGTAAAACAAAAAGGTTAAAAAGTAATTAGTGTGTGGTGGTGTATGTCTGAGGCACTTTTCAATTGATTGCGGCATTGATCTGGCCAAATTAGAGTTGTGGTAGAGCCCAAATGTGATTGCAAAAGGCATCTCGTGGTCCCACTCTCTCAGACACTCACATAGGCAGTCCTTCATGCAGTAGAGGCCTACAAGCATCTGCTGGTGAGCATTAGAGAGAGGTATTTGTTGAAGTTAGGTTGATGTTAGTGTCAAGCATGATTAACCTTAAAATGCTTTCTAAAAAAATTGCCATCACAGTGAACCACTGTCTCCTTGATGTGTACATATAAAATTTATGTCATGCTTGTCTTAGTGTTTTACATTTAATGATGTACATATAGGTGTGCTTTTATGCAGGACAAAGAGTTTGTGCATTTGCCGCCTTGTCATTAGCATTCCCTGCTCACCATTTTATTGTCAACATTGGCATAACATAGACTTCCACACGGGGGCACATGGACTGATGATAAAATGTATGTCGCATGGCTCACCTGTGGTAATGCAGATGTGGAAACGTTGGTCATAAGAGTGCCAGCTTTCTCTCAGAGCAACTAAGTGTGCACAGGATGGCGGAATTACCGTATATTAGGACTGGACTAATGATTTTCTGATAA